TCGAGAAAGAAAGGAGTAGGATTTCACGAGTTGCGGGATCGAATCAAGACTTTCTATTTGTTCCTCTGTGAAAATGAAAAACAAAAAAGTGAGAAGACTGGAAAAAACTCTGGCATAAGGGGGGACTGGGAAACTTACTGAGTAGCAGCGTGGTCACTTTTTTGTACAAGAAAGCGGAAAAAGAAGATATCAGGAACTATAGACCCATCTCGCTTCTAGCCCTTCCCTGTAAGATCCTAGCCAAAGCTCGTGCTTTTCGAATCCTAGACCTGACAGACAAATGCTTTCATATAGGCCAAACAGGCTTCATCCCTGGAAGATACATCCTGGAGAACGTACTGACCCTCAACGAAGCGGCCAACAAAGTCAGAGAAAAAAGGATAAACACAACAATTCTTTTTTTCGATTTTGAAAAGGCCTACGACCAGGTCAACTGGGCCTTTCTCAATGCAAGCATGGAAAAGATGGGAGTGGGCCCAAATTTTAGGAAGTGGGTGCGCATTCTGTATACTGACGCCATAGGGTGCGTCCAAGTCGATGGCTTGCTATCTGACTGCTATCCAATCTCTCGGTCAGTTCGCCAAGCAACTTAACCGCAAAGCAAGAGCGTACTTGTGGTCGGGAGACCCCAACAAAGAGAACGGTTTACCAAAGATAGCCTGGCAAATACATCACAAGGAAACCAGCCAGAGGAGGTCTTGGTATAAAATACCCCAAACACCCAAACAGAAAACCAAAGCCTTACAAGTTAAATGGATAGTCAAACTACTGACTAAACCTGGTACAGCACGGAATAAGCTGGCCTTGGATAGCATCAAGGGCCTAGCACCTACAGCCGCACAAGCAAATATGTCCGGTATGTTCGGGGTAATGACCAAGGAATGGAGCCCGAGTACAGGACGCAGAAATCAACGAAGAGGAATCGGTCCAAACGAAGCCAGCCCCCCCACACCATATCGGACTGCATTGCTACGGATATGGCGGGAAGTCATGCTGAAGAAGGTGGGTGGACCCAAATCCAAAGACGAGGTACTAAGGCAACCCCTGTTTGGTAACCCGTGCGTGAGAGACGAACGTGATCACCAATTATCCCTTAAGCCAAGAGGAAGGAGATGGCTATCATGGATCAAACATGGAGTCTGGAAAGTGAGCCATCTGTGGAACGAAGAGAAAAAGGACTGGGTGGCAGAACAGGAACTTGCCTCCCAGCTCAAAGGATGTCACCGACAAGATGAGAATCTACAATCCATTATCAACTGCATCCCAGAAGGCTGGAAGGAGTTGTTGAGCGAAGCCTCAACCTGGAAATCGGGTGAATGGGGAGTGAGGGTGCAGGATCTAACCCCCTGAAGGGCCTATCGATGTTGAGGGTGCAGGATCTAACCCCCTGAAGGGCCTATCGATTTTCCCATAAACAGCAAGGGTCGGATACCCTGGCGGTGTTTACCTCGTTCCCAATTACCCCCTCCAAGCAAGGCCTCCCATCAATCCTGAGTAAGGAGGTGGAAAGAACAGTCCTAAACCCTTTTATATGCAGAAAAGTAAGAGTGTTGGGATCATGGCCAAAAACAATCTTCAGTATAGATACGGCGATTCAAGACTTGGAATTTGATCCATCAGAGTGGGCTTGGACACCAGACAGAAGCAGAAGTCCCAAAACGAAGGTCCCCATCCAGGAATACACAGTCAAACTGGGATACAACTTACTCCTCAAAACAAAGGACCCTGACCCTTTTTTTTTTTTTTTTTTTTTTAAACCCTACCAATGTTAGTGTTGCTGATAAGAGCAGACACCACTAACACCTGGGTAGAGACTCCATCTATTGGTGGGGAGCATCACCTGCTGGAAACCGGGTCCAGGGTCCGTTTTACATAGCCTTTGTTTCTTTATGAAAATCTGTGGAGATAAAGACTGCCTCTTCAGCCAAAACAGGCCGCCAGATACAACTAATAGCTCGAGCAGAAAAATATCTCCTGGAAACAATCTAAAAAATAGCCCAACGATGGAGACAAATTTTCCTTGAGATTGTATCAGAAACCTCAGAGATCCAAAATATGTTGCATTCATATTTTATTGAGGATACCATTGCGAATCTACCATTGCTAATTCTGACGGGGGAAAAGGATCAGGAAAAAATTCTGGAGATCTGAGTGTTGTTTCTGGAGGAAGCGAAAACCAGTCTTTGAAACTCAAGAGGAAGTCCCGTTTTAGATTTTCCCCTCGACGATCAAGAACAGATGGCAGAAGTTAATAGGTCAGGACGCTAGTCAGATCCCACAAATACCACCATGGAAAAATTTCAAGTCAATCCGACCGGTCAAAATCATAAGCCTCCAATGGCTCACCTCATACGTGGCTCTCTACCGGTTAACTACAGTGGCTGCATATCCGAAGAAGTAAGAAAGACCCTAATACTTCAGATTTATGCGCGCGGTATGTTCAGAAAATGAACCAGAAGATATGCTACATTGTTTGATACGCTGTAGAGAACTGACGGAATATTGGGCGAGGGTCTCGGATTTCTAGGGGTCCCTTTTCGCAACTCCCCTCCCTGAACAACCCCATCCAACTCCTTCTATGGACTAACATCCCAGCTCAATTCCACAAGACAGAGAAAACGAACGTGGTTCCGAATGATCAGAAAGGTAAGGCTGTGGTCCATCTGGAAGGAAAGGTGCTGCAGAACCATTGAGGGACTCTTCTCAACGCCAAGGGAGAAGGTTTGGGCGGAGACAAGGACCTTGATTCAGGCAGAGATTCTGTGTAAGTGTCATGAGACGAGACACTGCATGCCAGAGGATCCAGAGCAACAGAGAATAATGAAGGCAAACTTCACTAAGGTGTGGCTCGCAGGGGGCAAAATAGCATACGGGGGAAAGATTGGCACAATCAGAAACAGGGTGGAGATGACAGAGATCCCAGCCAGCAGAGGGACACTATCTATCACAGGCCACGTAATATTGAAAGGGCAGAGTCCGAGATTGCATCTTTCGTACCTTCTTTTACCTTTCTTGCTCTTTATCATTTATCTGACAGGTTCATACGGTGGACCTGAGACGAAAGGGGGAAGTAAGGCAAGCTGACAGTCAATCCCCCACGATGCTGGAGTCATCAATGCCGGTCAGGCTTCCTTCGACTGTACGGAAGGATGTGTGAGGGTATGTAATAGTTTATTCTGACTTGCCGGTGGAATAGGAACTGGACTGATGCTCCCCAGAGTGGAAATGGAGCCAGGGCCATAAGGACTTGTTTTGTTCAAAAAAAGAAAAAAAAAGAAAAAAAAGAATGGAAAAAACTGGAAAGGGGCCTGCCAAGGGTCTCGTTTGGCAAGCTTCTGTTCGTATCACCCTCTCTAGTGACCCCGGGACAGCTCGTCCTCCAGTGTATTAAGTCTCCCCCTACGACTATCCCTAATCACTCTCTTCTCCGTCATCACTCAAACTTTATTTCCTCCACTGTTTCTCAGCTCCTTTTTCCAGGCGTATGTGTGTTCCAAAATCTCTCAGCAGAGTCAGCACATCCCAATCTATGAAAATGCCGCTCCACGAAAAGATGTGTGGTACACCAGGTCCGGGCATGGTACCAGGTAGACCCAATCCAACCTTACATGCTTCTATACATCTGCTATTGGAAACAAACAACAAAGTTTAAAAAACAGATGGCACCCGAGTAAATACACAAGAGTGGTGATAGACTGTTTCGTTGGACGTGCACCGACTCATCAGGAGGCTAAGGTCTTGACAGCCTCTGCCGGATCGAGGTTTAATGCTGTGAGTCCTAGTCAACTTCATCAAACCCTGTTGCAAATGGGCAGTTCCCACGCGCACACAAGCGGGCGGGAAGGCAGCCAGGGGCGGGAGGGAAGGCAGCCAGGGGCGGGAGGGAAGGTAGACAACAACACAGCAAGGCACTCAAGCACACAACAGCACTAGGCTGCACATAGCAAGGCAAGCGAGTGGGCAGGCGTGCGGACATGAACACGGCAAGGCACTGAGTGCAGGCACGTGGACAGTCAGGTGGGACATCGACAAGAAGATATGCAGCAACACAGGAACCTGAGGATGCAACAAGGAACAAAGTGGGGACCGTCACCTGCTTACATCAAATGGAAGACCTAGATGAGTGTACGTTCACCCCACCATCGAGAGCCAGGAAGCCACGACGGATGACTATCACCAGCGGAGAAGACAGAGTCACAGGCATCTCAAGCACAACAGCCCCCATACTAGTGTTGCAGGCATTCCGAACAAACAGGAACTGACTATTTGGCACAACTGAAAAAAGGTACTAGACTTCGATACGTGGAAAACATGGGGAAAGCCCAAACCACACAGCAAGTACACGACAACATGAAGAAAACATTTAGAGGAAAGGAAAAGCAGTAATGGATAGTAGCATGTGTGTGTGCGTGTGTGTGCGTGTGTGTGTGTGTGTGTGTGTGTGTGTGCATGTGGGTGGGTGTGCATGTGTGTGTGTGAGAGCGAGCGAGCGAGAGCGCGCGTGCGCACGCGCSAGAGAGAGAGAGAGAGAGAGAGAGAGAGAGAGAGAGAGAGAGAGAGAGAGAGAGAGAGAGAGAGAGAGAGAGAGAGAGAGGCACTGGTGTAAGAAGTCCTCATACTTCATCGTCACTTGAATCCTTTGGTGCAGCATTCTCACTGGGTAGTTGTGATTGGGTGGAATACCATCACACACTGCCCTTTCTCTTCCTACTGAAGACCGTCACACTTCTCAGGCCGTTGGATCTCACTGGACTTTCTCATCTATGTGGAGGATACCCTCACACACACACACCGCCCTTGGTCTTCTAAATGTGGAGTTGGACCCGATGCCTACACTGCGCAGTTCACAGAATAACTGTGGAAGGCAACTCGGTGATAACTGCGGGGAAAGATGGGAACCAAATCAACCGATAGATAACGGCTCGTTTATATCTGTGTACTTAATGTATGTTCTGGTATCTCAACCCTGATATTGTGTTAATGGGTTTGGCATATGTCAGTGAGCATGGTGGATTCGACTGGCGATTGTTGGAGAGCGAGTCCGGGCAACAGATCAAGCAATTCATCTCTAACCTGATCACCATCCGAAAGCGAAGGAGCAGTATTTTCCAGGTTGGTTTTCCCTCTTTCTTTTGCAAATCATTTCCTGTGTTCCTTGTCTAAAGTCAAAAAAAAATCCATTGACAAAGGGAAAACACTTTACTCCAGAGAACAAACTCTGACACCATCAAAAAAAAGAATTAGCTATGCGATTCCTTGCCGACCATAACGAGTGGGGTACCCAGCGTGGGTTGTACGGTTGTAACAGCGGCATACTTCTGACTTCCCAGGGGACAAGGAACCAGAGTTACCAGACCAAAAAAAAAAAAAGAAAAAAAAAAAAAGGAATCAGACAATGAAAGGGGCCGCCGACTGAGAAGGAAGCTTTAGTTTCGCCAAAATCAAGGGGAACAAGAAAAGGATTAAAGAAAAAGAAAAAAAAAAAAAAAGAAAAGGGGAACAAGAAAAGGATCCTGTGGGTTATAGACCAACGGGCATAAACTCAGTTCAACTTAGAAGGTTGTTGCTCTATCCAGCTGAGCTAAGAATGCAACTCACCCAAAAGAGTCAACGCAGCTGCCACAACAAAACAAGCAGCTTATTTTATTTATGTATGCGCTCAGACGTTGTACAAGCGCTTTGTTGCTTGCCTCTCTACTCTACTTGTGAAGCAGCCCGCGACCTCTTACGGGCCCACCCATGAACTGTTGAAATACCAACTCCAGTTCGGATCCCAGTCGAGTCAGACGAGTAAAATGACTGTGATTTATTATTATTATGATTTATTATTATTTTTTAATGACTGTGAATTGACCTGGGAACGGTCAATTTGAAGATGATACCTGAAGGCCGTCGCCCTTTCCGAAAAAGGGAACCCGTGGGTTAGCTCTAGCGGTTTAAAATGCCCGCTGTTGCCTGGGTGGCACCAAAAATAGGTGGTGGGATCGAGGCCAGTAAACATCGTCAGGTATGTCGACAACCTGAATTGCGCTGGATAGGTGGTGAGGTCGAGGCACCCTTAAAACATCCTCAGGTACTTTCGCCCAATGACCATCGGAGATGGTTATTACCTTTTGAATTTGGGGCACTGTTGAAAGCTACCCAAAGAAAGGTGGCTGAAAAGGATGCCTTGGGGAGTGGGCGCCACCGTGGTCTATTTTCCCGAGATGGAGAGACATAGACAGAGCTCAGTGGGGAGGTTGCCTTAGCTGTCATTTCTACAAAACTGACATATCAGATGTGTATAACTATTCCCAACTCTCTCTCTCTCTCTCTCTCTCTCTCTCTCTCTCTCTCTCTCTCTCTCTCTCTCTCTCTCTCTCTCTCTCTCTC